ACAACTCACTAGGCTTTTTACCTGAGGAGGAAGACAGAGTCCAATCTTCGAAACGTTTCACATAAAAATAGGACGACTGAAAATGTACAAAAAGTCGATAACTGTGTATAGCATTTTGTGTTATAGGCCTCTACAGAGCAGGTTAGTTGTTGTATGTGTTTATTATTAAAAAGACCTGCGTGAGGAAATATGCGGCTGGTGCCCCGTCCGGACCAATAGGGGCAGTGGACCGGAGATAATCTGAAAAAAAAATGAACCATTTTTGGATGGAAGACGGCTTTGGAAAACCAGTACGTACAACGTGGCCCCTTAAAGGGCACTCTGTTTATTTTCACAACTTTACCAGCCCAGTTTCTATTGTGCCCGACGACCACCAGTCCACATCCTTCCCTTGTGGTTTTTCCAAAACGCAACTCAATCATCCTACTCACTCCGACCCTAAGTTAGAGGCAGTACGTACCCCCGAAACAACGGCAATACTGCACACATCCATGCAATAAACACGGCGAAGAATGTAAACATGCCAATACATTATGCATGAAACAGTGCTTATAAGTCATCAATTAGAAATATGGGGGGAAGACAAAACAATGGAAACACTAAGAAACTAAGGAATAGAATTTATGTTGGATACATTGAAAGAACTTCAGCTGGCAACACTGAGTGTTCTTCAGATTGTGTACACTATGTAGTGCTCATGACAGTGCATTAGTTTTTGTGTTGAGTGACAGCCAATGTGACAAAATCAGAAAATGGGAGACCTGTCCGATTTTGAAAGAGGACGGATCGTTGGTGCGCGTTTAGCTGGAGTATCTGTGACAGAAACTACCTCATTATCAGGTCTTTCGAGAGCGACAGTTTCTAAGGGTATATACACATTCATGAATCGTGGGGAGACATCAGCAAAAAGGAACAGTGGGCGAAAATTAACACTGGCAGAAGGAGTCTGCCGTACACTGAGAATGACTGTTTCGAAAAATCAGAGTACTGCAGCACAGGTGTCAGCAGAACTGAACATTCACCGTGAAGACACTGCTTCCACAAGAACTGTCTGAGGTGAGCTTCACAAATCCAACATCCACAGCATGGCTGCAACTGCTAAACCTCTGCTTAGAAGGTAATACTCAGATGCATAAACGATGGTGTCACGGCCATAAAACCTGGAAACCAGGCAACTAGGCAAGTGGAAACACGCACATTATATTGTCAAGCCGAAAGGCAATGTTCATTGCTTTGCCTCGCAAAGTCGATACCATGTTGCCGCGCGCGAACTCTGTCGAGCCAATTCGGAGCGGACCTCTTTTCCGCGGCAAAGGGGTTTCAGTGTGCTGTTCTCTTTCGGTTGAGACGGACTTGTGGCGTTCAGCTGTTTCTTTCGGAGCAAAATGAAGAATGAAAACTGTCTAGCTCTCACACAGTTTTAGATATCTAAAGAGGTATTGTGGAATACAAAATCTGCTAATTACCATAACAAAAGTATACACGAGGACGCATGGAAGGACACTGGTGACGAAATGAAAATGCCAGTTCAGGATGACAACTTTATTGGCTTCATACAGAAGAGAAAAGTCCCGAATTAAGAAGTCTTACATAACTGGTTCTGGTACGAACATATTTATTAAATTGCTAATATACCACTCGTATTATCTGTAATTATGCTAATAAGCAAAACAAACTCCGTGTTTTCAGTCCAGAGCGACCGCCACTTGTCGGCGAAGTTAGCGCCGACTTCAGCGGATAGAGGGTGTCGCGTGGTCAGCGCAACGAATCCCCATGGCCGTTAATTTCGGTTTTCTACACCAGAGCCGCTATTTCTTTGAAATAGCTCCTCAATTATCATCACGAGGCTGAGTGGACCCCGTTCCAGACACACTTCTTCTCAGAAAAAATATGCTAATACAGTAATAATTTATTTTCTTCGATAATGCTGAACATCAACATAAAGGCAGCCGCTGCACGTGCTGTGTTCATAGTGATCTCGCGAGAACTGAGGAACAGCGCTGATCAACAGCCGCACGCGGCTGCCGCGCTTCAATGTTGGACACGAACACGATAAACAAATGAACGAGTTTTCCGCGCAATAACAGCTGCGCGCGGCAGCCTCGCGTAATCTACACCCAGCCTCAGATGAGTCTTCCTTCTCGCTTCTTCCGTACATCAGGAGTTTACGTCTGGAGAGCACCCAAGGAAGCCTGCAATCTGAAATGCCTGCTTGGTTCCAACAGTGAAGCACGGGGGAGGGCCTGTTAATGGTTTGCGCACGGCAGCCTCGCGTAATCTACACCCAGCCTCAGATGAGTCTTCCTTCTCGCTTCTTCCGTACATCAGGAGTTTACGTCTGGAGAGCACCCAAGGAAGCCTGCAATCTGAAATGCCTGCTTGGTTCCAACAGTGAAGCACGGGGGAGGGCCTGTTAATGGTTTGGGCAGCAATGTTGTGGTATTTATTACACTTCATGCGTGAATTACAGCAAGGGAGTACGTGGTCAGGTTGCATCCCATGATCCAGACGTTACTTCTGAAGACGGAAATGCACCCATTCACACAGCTGGAACTGTCCAGTCATGGTTGGTAGAGCATGAAGATGAACTTCAACATCTTCCATAGCCAGAACAATCACTGGACCACTTGAGTGAAGAATGCATTCCCACCTCCAACTTCTCTAAAGAAACTGGACGATAACACGAGACTGCAGCGTCCTGTTCCACTGTGTTCTCACTCCTTGACGTCTCTGTACAATTTCGTCGATACATTAAAATTCACATGTTTCAGCCTACCTGGCCATCATCAGGCGTGTAAGGTGTTAGCCTGAGCCTGAAGGGGCCTGCTTCAGCTTCTACAGTCATACATACAACAAATGGATAAACCAGCACATCAACAAAAACGTACTAACATCAAAAATGCCAAGACAAAATGTACATAAAATAGATTATAAATAAAATGCTCCTATAACCCATTACATACTACAGATACACCAGACACGTGTATAACAACGGCATGATAAGACCTAAAATATTTTAGAAGCATTTACAGCAAAACGAAAAGCAGAACACCGTAATAACAGATCAGCAGGTTCCTTCAATCCAACATCTTATACACCTGATGCTAGGCCGAAACATGCAGCATTGTATAATAACGAGACGGAGACGTATGAATATTAATATATCGACGAAGTTGCACAAAGACGTCAAGGAGTGAGAACACGAAGTTACACAACTTGAAGACGTTCTTCAAGAAGTTGGTATAAAATTCCGCTAGAGACTGTTTAAAACTTGTGCGAGTCCATTCCAAGAAGGATTCTGGCTGTATTGACGGCATTATGTTGCCCAAAATCATTATTAATAAAGAAATCTGTAGAGTATATAGTGTTTCCATTGTTCTGTGCAATCCATGCATGTCGACAACCGGAAACTCATCAGATAATTGTAACGTACACCGAATATGTCCGTAATACGTTCTTCTCAAAAATAAAGCAAAGTGGAATAATAAAAAATACAGGATCAAACTCCGCAGTTTTAGCTCTCAAGCGAACTATACCGACCAAGCCATCGCCGCTTGTCGGCGAAGTTAGTGCCAACTTTTAGCGGATAGAGGGTGTCGCGTGGTAAGCGCAACGAATCCACACAGCCTTTAATTTCGGTTTTCTAGACCGTAGCCGCTACTTCCTTGAAATAGCTCCTCAATTATCATCACGAGGATTAGTGGACACCGTTCCAGATAGCGCCGGGAATCGAAGCCGGACCTCTGGATCTGTAGCCAGGAATTCTAACCACTAGACCAGAGGAGTAATAACAGTGATAAATGTAGGTCTAAAAATAAAATAGGAAGATAGCTGTGTTCGGAATCCCTTCAGTTCTCACTTCCAACGTCTTATTATTGCGGAACTTTTGTTTCCAAATTTGAGTTTAACGTTAGAAAACTCCTATATAGACGACGTTCTATTTTCCTCTACAATGGATGAGTCACCGGTGCCAATGTTGCACTTCTAATTCAAAATCTAGTTCCAGCAAAGTGAATTTTGCTTCCAAAATTTGGAAACAATTTATCAACACTTTTAATGGGCCTTTTCTAATTTCACTTATAAAAATGGCGGCACACCAAACAATGAGGAGAGGGCAAAAGGCCCGTGAACAAAATCACAGAAGAGAAAAATTAAACAATGACTGAAACGCGAAATACAATACTTGTTTCTGATTTATAATACAGGTTATTTTATTCTCAAATACATTTAAATGCACATGGGCATACATATTTTCCGTGGATTTATACTGTTACAAAAGGTAAATTGTCCCTTGTGTGTAATTAATTAAGTCCTATGCCATGCAGACATTTGGGGACTAGAGGTCTAGTTCCACCATTCTTTTATAATCTCTGAAAATATATAAAATATTCATTTCTATAAAAGTCAGTTTTCTTCCTGCATGGGGCCCGTGTTATTATCTGGGAACAAAATACGAAAATGACAAATTAATGCTAATGTTTTCGGGACTATCAATCTTGACATCTGTTTCTTCACAGTAAGAAACATACTAAGCGCATAACGCATCGCTTCCGTATGCCATATCCAGAAACACGATTTGGTTCTTTAAAGCAATAAATCTTGAAATGAGACTGGATGACGATATCCACAACTCATCCAGGCAGATGCGTATCAGTGCTTTCTCAAAACGCCAGACAAATTGCTCTGAATGTGGGTAACTTGTCTAGCCGACGTCTAGCTGGATCCCTCAAGGCCGCTTTCATCGTAGCGTAATAACTATGTAAGGCACATTGAGGGAAAGAAAGGCATTTCTCGTTCTTGCGTACGTGTTATAAATATCACACATATTACACTTTTACTAAACACGAACTGAAAGTGAAAGCAACCGAAGCAATCCACCCGATTACGGCCAGGATACTCTGGATCAATAACTTTCATAGTACGATGTGTCTACCACCAGGTGCCACAACAGAAAATACCTACTACTGCCATCTCCCGGATGACTTTAATACTTTCTCGACATACACAGCGATACCAAGCCACCATTTAACTGGCGCTTACTGCACACTTTTACGCTGCTGTGAGAACATGGAAGATGTAACGTAGCGTTTAATATACGAACCAAGGACTAAAAACAACAACCCACATGGGATTACACCTAACACGTAAACAGGTAAAGTGGCACCATGATTTCCAACCATAACACTGCAATATGAACTGAAGCCTTCCGGCAGGGAATTAAGGAGAAGTGATGTCGAATATGGTGTATTAAGGCACAAGCTTTCAAACTTGCGATAATGTAGATTCTAAAGGGTTCTGACGATGGTATATAACATTCAGAATCACTGCGTTTTTGGACTTTGTCCATCGTCCGGTATTCTAGAAATTGCAAACACAACGTTTCGGAAACTGGACCTGTCTCCATCCTCAGGTGAGTGATCTAAGTGAGTAGCTGAAACATGAAATTTAAGACAGCATTTGAATCACATGGCTATGTAGAAGTTACAACCCTTCTATGTTGAATCTTAATTAATGGAATATTAGATTATATATATATATAAGTGATCACTGGTAAAATACATTTATGTACAATAATGTTTAAACANAGATGCGATTTCTCTGCAATCGGTTTCCAAATTTCATGATATCAACTTTGAAGATTTAAAAGTTGTATTTACATATTAATCGAAAACAAGATTTAGAAGCTACAGAATGGACTCTTAGAATATTCCTTTACTGCAATGTGGTTCTGAAACTCTTTTGGTTGATATACCTCATCATCTCGGTGTCAGATGTAATGTCCCCCATCTCAGTAGTAATATGAATCGGTGTGTTCAGTTTAAACAAACTCTTTAGTCTGTGGACAGAAATAATTACACACACTTATTGGTCACTACTGTTGCTGCATACTACCAACCAACATTTCAGTTCTGGGCACCATTTTCGAAACAATAACATGTATGTCATGTTCAACTTTTAGTTTGTTTCTTGCTTTGGATTTGCAAAAGTAGGTTGTGACAGACTAGAACTTGATGAATTCATGTGGCTAGAACAGAATATGCCTCACCAAGACTGCACCAGTTCCGATCAACTTTCATTTTTAAAATTAGAACGAAACTTATAATTACTGAAGAAATCAAGGAGCTTATCCTTTGCCAGATCGTTACCATCAATTTGTTCACGACAAATGGCAAAAGGACTTCTTATCCACATGTCAGCTATCAAGGCAGTTGGAATAATAATACCTTAAATAGTGAATTTCAGCTTTTGATTCCACTGGATGTCCTGAATGTAAACTGAGTTTACATCAAGAAAGGAAAATTTCCAAAGGTTTCAAATTTTACATGTCTTCCCCCAAGTACTAACTTCTCTTGAAACGACTGAAGCTTCACTTCAGCCTCCAAAAAAAAAATAGCTACTTCTCACCCTGCAATGAATTGTTCATTGAGTTTGGAATTACAATGCTGAAGCGAAATTAATCCCTTTTAACATCGAAATATCTCACATCTTGAGATTAAAGAACCCTAGTCACAACTTTCCCTCCTAATAAACAGCATACACTGGTATCAAGCAAAGTATGGTGTTTAACTTCATTCATTCTGGCCCATCACACTAGTTAATTATTATAAAATGAATATGACAACACCATCCGGTGTGACTCAGTTATACAGTGCCTGCACAAGTTTCGGTCTGCTGTGACATCTTCAGAAGGCAATAACAACATGCTAAGGAACTATTATTACATAGCTCACAATACAATACATACACGGTGTGTCCAGGATCCGTTAGGACTCTCTCTCTCTCTCTCTTTTTTTTTTGCCCTGCAATGCCATCTATTGGCGAGTTGTGGCGTTAAGATTCTTGAAGTTTCAGCTGTGGCTGTCTATAAGATCAAAGCTCAAGTATCGCTGCAATAAATTTCCCACCTTCTATAGATCATAATGATTGATTAAGGTGTTCTCATGAGTTCTACTGAAAACGAACGATACAGTCCAATGAATTACTGCCGTACATAATCACAGTTCAATAAATATCTGACAATATTATATCACAAAATAACTTATTAAGCCACCCAAGCACAAGAGAAAATATCTTACGGTATAATCAATACGCTTTATTCGCTAGTCGTGTCTAATTTTATTCAGCCAAAATATTGTGACATGGCAGCTTAAAGGCTGGCATTGAGTTGCGAGACAGTCACCAGCCGGTAAGGACACAAGTACGGAATCTCAGAAATCTAAACTGTTGGGAGCCGTTACCAGGCAACGACTGGACTTCATGTGATTGCAGTACTGTGATTTGTACAGTGCGTAGATCCGTGAACCTTTTGTTACCCGCAGTTACGAGTTGTAGGTGTTGAATAAATTCAATTGCCGATCCAAACCTAGTGCCTTTTTAACACGTGACAACCAGTGCCAAAACTGGAAAGGATTGAGTGAACAATTGGGCTGAGTTAGTGGATTGTAAGTAATGGATCCCGAAGCTCAAGGCGCCCATCTTTCAGAACCTGAAGCTCCACCTAATGAAAGATTGGTAGACACGATAGCCGGGATCCTTGGTCTAAATCCCATGCTTATTAACAGCACGAAATTAAAAACGTATAGAATTCGCACAACTAAAGATGTCATGTCGTTGTAATGAGACTGCATCTAAATCATTTAAATCGTATGTAGGATATTACTATGGTCATCTTCCTGCTGGCGGATCCACAATTTCCCCGGGTCCTTCCCTCAGGCTCTTGCTGGCACTCTTCCGGGTCCTATGCCGCTTCCTCAGGTTTCACTGCGACATGTTTCTTGGGGATCTCCCGATGCTCCGCTTGGCATTCCATGTCCTTGCACTCCAGACATGCCTCCGTCTTTTCTAAACAGGAAAACATCCTTTCATGAGTGGTTTCCATTGCGGTCATCAACTTCTTATGGTTCGCCTCTCTCCGGGAGGCGAGGGAAGCTATCTCAGCTTTCATCTCCTCTTTCCCGTCGTCCATATTTTCCTGATTGGCCTCCATCTTGGCTTCCAATCTTGCCTTGAGACAGGCGTCCATTTTTCTTGCATGTCTTTCAGGAGTTCCGTCATTTGTTCTACTTTTGTAAGCTGACGATACGACTATACATATACTGCCGTCTTCAGTCCAACAAATCCCATTTCTGACACCAAAATGTCACGTCCCGGGGATTTTGCGTGATTAATAAGACGGGTTTCTTGATTTGATGATCGAACGAATTTACTGGAGCATTACACAACTGGTTACAACAGTTCACAGATCACTGACACACTGTCATCATCTTCCGACTGGACGCTCCACTGGAAACTATTCTGACTTCCAAAGGAACTGAACTCTATTACTCCGTTGTACTCCCTCCTACTCTATTTACAATTCCTCGGCACGAAACCCACGGAAAGCACTGTCTTCTGTTGTCAAGAATACATGTTTATTGGTCCGTTACCTAGCAACGGATGCCCTAATGCGGAGAACGTAACTTTCGGAATGTATTTACAGAGCCGTTGCCTAACCCTGGGGATAAGCGTCACAATATATATAACTTTTAGACTATCCAGAGAAGAAGAATGACAAGTAATGAAACAAATTAGTCATAGCAGCTTTAATGCAAGAGAATACAAGTGGTGAACAAGATGATGAAAATGTTGTTTGCTACCAAACATAACCCCAAGATCTCTTGTATAATCAGTTTGTACAATTAATAGATAAAATTAGGATACACACAAAACATACCTAAAATTATCAGATCGCCTACATAGTAATTAAAATGGATACTGTTAGTATTACAAGTAAGAGAAATTAAATTGATTTTATGTCAATGTTTATATGCCTTTCTCCGGCATAGAAAACCGAGGTTAACGGCCGTGGGGATCCGTTGCGCTGACCATGCGACATCCTCCATCAGCAAAAGTTGGCACTATTTTCGCCGACAAGCGGCGGTCGCTCAGTCGGTACAGTTCGCTTGCGGACTACAGGCCACGGAGTTTGTTTTTATATGCCTTTCAATGCACAACTTTCTACACAACCTATAATGGATTGCAGTAATTTACAATCTTCAGCAGACATGGAACACTTTTCAACCATCAGCAAAGAGCAAAAATTCAAATCAATCTGGACTCTTAAACAATTAATAAATGTACTGAACTGAGGTCCTATGGTGGAGCCTTGTGGCACTACTGACAGCATGGGTAAGGTGAAAAATCTTCTCTAGACAGCAAACAAAGGAAAATCTGGATAACAGGTAACCATGTAATGTAACACTGAGAGTAAGAAATTATTAAGTTTATGTAACAGAAGATCATGCAGGACTTAATCAAAAGGCCTGGCTAAAGTCAAAATATTGGGAACTGTCAACTAACAGAAACTGTAACAAAGTTAAAATAAGCGCAAGTGTATAACTTTATGATGTTAAATGTGTATTATATTTTTTTAATCCGACGGATAACTATTATGCAAATACAGTTTGCAGGTCTGCAGGTGAAAATAAGAGCACTAATTGGTAAATAATAATAGTCTGTTCTTTGTTACAGTCTCTAGTTACTAACAGTTTATGATAAACTAGAGGATTCTTTGGTACAAACATGAATCAGTATATTATTAACCTACCAAGATAACATTTTAAGACCGACTGCAGGATTACATACCTCCACATACATGGAATTTTACCAAGCGAGGCACACCTTCTCTTGTACAAATAGTTAAGACTATGCATGACTAGTTCATGCTTAACAGCCCTATTTCAGGACAGTTTTGGTAAAGTCGATTTTTGCAAATATATTTACTAACATCTGTATATTCCAATCATGTTTTAAAAGGTCATTCATATCTGTATCAGGTACCATAAAGAGAATTCTGAGTGGTGCAGTATCACAGCACAGCGCCACAGACCTAAATACAGCATGTCTGGGGATAAGGAAGGAGACGTCGGGCATCTGATATCTGCTATTTTTGTTAGACAGTGATGGCTGAACAAACAAATGAGCTCAATATAACTCACAGCAGTTAAAGAGAACTTCTGCAACTAGTGAATTAACGGCAGTAATGACTGTATTCCTACATTATGTAACACGTGGTAGTGTAGCTGATTGAGGCACTATGCTACAACCTGGAAGTTCGCAGGTTCGATTCCCGATGAGGTTACTGCGTTCTTCAATTGACTTAATCTTACCAGCTGCACTCTGGTCCTGGGGTAGACTCTATCTCTAACGGAAATGAGTACCAGGAATTTTCCTGGGGGTAAAGGGCAGCCGGTGCACAAGGCTGACAATCTCACCGCCATCTATGAGCCTACTGTCTAGAAAATGTGGGAGCCTTGATGTCTCACGACCCCATGGGCCTCCATGGCCTATAACATGAAAAGCTTTACCTTTTACGTTAACAAATCATGTCATCTATTGCTGTTGACAAAAAGAACTTACTGCATTGACACAATGACAAATTTTTGTGGCCGAACTGACGGACTTCCAGAAAATGGTGTATAGTACCAAATACGGGTTTTAAAATAAGTGAGAATAGGTTAGTACTGCAAAATAAAATTATCTCACAAGTATCATTCCTAATCCAAGATAATAATATAATGCCAAATAAAAGTTGTACAGCATATGGATGTAATTCATAGTACACATAAAGCGCCTTTACATCATATATACATTGCTGCTGCCATCTGATGAGAAAGGTATTAACCCAGTATGCCTGAATATCCCACCAGTTTATGAAGAATGCTGAAAATAGAATCCAGTAACTTTCTAATGACGACGCAAAGGTGTACGTCACAGACTAACGATGACGCATTCAGTTCATGGTGTAGTTCAAGAACAGTCACAGCTCCCTTATGTGAAATATAAAGTTCAGCTCAAGAAAAGATTTTAATTTAAAATGATGCCGGGACTTCATCTTAAAATCGGCATGTTATTTAAATGAACAATGACTGTAAAACAAGGTTTCTCATAAAGCTGGCAAGATTTATAAATTCTCAGGGTCGAAGTGAACACGCGATGTCACATGGGCTGTTTCAGCAGGAAATCATGCTCGTTTAAAACTGCATTAAATTTCACTAATTTATTTCAGGCACTATACCGGATTCCGAGGACGCAGAACACTCGTGTGGGCTGCATCCACGTGATTCTAGGGGATGCATATTCCCAAATTAAAGAGTCTTATCAATGTCGATACTAGTGTGAGTATGGTCAAGCAAAGAGTCTGGTAAGAAAGATGACGTCTCTCAAATGACCATCACTGTCTTTCCGATGCATTTAAAAATATCGTTTCTGTATTCTAGAACCGTGCTTGAGTGATGTCTATGCAGCCCCATGTAAAGCGGGAAAGCCAGAGGAAGTTGTTCCGGTGACCTAATATTACGTCACCGAACTAGTAGGGATGACGACACACGCTGAGCATCCTGCAATACAGTTCCGTTCATGTGCAACGTCATCAATGACATCATTGCAAACGTTTCTCGGGCAGGTGACAGACCGAACGTGTAAGGCGGAATACGGCGAGGCATTATGTCATACGACTTTCGAAAGGAAAAGGAAAAAATCTGCACACACGTCAAACATTACTTTATTTCTATAATTATTCTGTTTTTGGACATTGTCCATCGTCTTGCCTTTATTCAAAACCGACTTGCTTATTTTTCAAAACACGACGTTTCCGAAACCAGATTCTGTTTCCGTCTTCAGTTGGGCCCAAACGATAGAGCTAGTCCCTATCTCAGTCTCCCTGTGCCAGCTGCAAGATGGGGTACATAAGCCAAACACAGCACAAACCATCTGCGAGAGCTAAGAAAACATCAAATTATCAAAACTCCACACGTATGAGGCCTTTCACTAGATAAGTATCTCGACTGAGACCATCACTGGAGAGAAGCAATACTCTTTATGGTAGGAATACAAGAAAGACGGCGTTTCCCATTCAAACTACACCTGACGCAGTGATTTTTTGAAGACAAGACGATGGATAATGTCCAAAAACATAATATCTGTACTAATGTACCGCCGTCGCGAACTTTTAGAACTTAAATTACTTTATTTTTTCTCAGCATCTCTCAAACAATGGGCCTACTTCAGCTGATTCTTATTACACAAAATATCAGTGACTATCGAGTCATTCCACTTGATTCCTTGGAAGTAACAGAGTATGAGTATGAGGGGTGAGCTATAAAACTACTAACAACTTCACCTAATTGTTCTTAATAATCTAGATTTCACTATTTACACACACATGCTTTCCCATAAACCGAATGGAAGTAATTATTTATTTACCATAACTTGAAAGGAGATAAGGTATTTACTATAGGATTCTGACGATGGTGTATAACACACAGAGATATTGGGTTTTCGGACTTTATCCATCGTCCTGGTTTTAAGATAACTAAGATAAACACGACGTTTCGGAAACTGGAAGTCCAATATCTCTGTGTGTCATAAGGTATCTTCAATTCTTTGGGAAACTGACAATATAAAAACTGCATGGCCCAAAGTGGGCACATCCCCCCGACGAAAAAAGTTTATAAAAATGGTTTACAGTATTATATTTAAGCATCCTGTTGTACTCTATACGATGACATAAACACCGTCCCAAGTGCAACAATTTTTGTACTTCTTTTGTCTTGCCCTCTTCTACACTACATGTTTCGGCCGCAAACGGCCATCATCAGGTGTATACACTTACGTTGCTGTTACACTGCACTTAGTTTAAAATTTAAAACCACGAGTCTTCCCAATTGTTCTTTTCGTCGTTACTAACGGGTTTCGATTTATTAGAATCTACTTCGCTGATATCTGTCTGATTTGTGCATTATCTTTGTTACCTACACTCGTCAAATGCACAAATCAGACAGATATCAGCGAAGTAGATTCTAATAAATCGAAACCTGTAACGACGAAAAGAACAATTGGGAAGACTCGTGGTTTTAAATTTTAAACTAAGTGCAGTGTAACAGCTATGTGAGTGTACACCTGATGATGGCCGTTTGCGGCTGAAACATTTAGTGTAGAAGAGGGCAAGACAAAAGAACTACAATAAATTGTTTCACTTGGGACGGTGTTTGTGTCATATATAAAAATGGTGTCAGAAAACTTAAAATCATTTGTTCTTTGTGTGTACACTATATATATATTTATATATCATATTTTATATATAAATATGATCTGTGGCAGGCCCTAAGATAATCTGCATATAATATACACACACGACATACATGTCACAAACAGGCTATGACAAACAAAATATCAAGTGTACAGTTAAATGTACACCCCTGGCGCGAAATACTTCTCTGCTGTAATAAATGAATAACGAAAGAGAAATATACAAACACTATAAATGATCCAATTGTACTTAAATGCCTCCAGTCACCGAACTAGTAAGGAAGAGGCGAGAGGCGTGCTGCTGCCACTAGACTACTCAGCGGTCCAATAACATTTTGACAGTTTCTAAATGCCACAAATACCTGGAGGATGCCAGTACTGGATCCTGCCGAACTGCCAACTCTCGGCCACCTGTTCCGGCTCCATTGTTGGGTCCATGCAGCACATGTCAGCCCGAACCACGTGAAACTACACACTCGCCACATTTACCGCGCGCCAAATCTCACCGGCCGGCAAGCAGCATACTGCGAAAATCACATGTTTCACTCCTTCCCCTTCCATTCACGTTTAAAAGCGATTCATGCCGATGGAATGTTGCTCTGGAACGCGGCACACGCGGATCTCCACCAATCATAAGCCACTACGTCACATGACGTAGACGACTGGCTCACAGCTGATGCATTAGTCATAGCAAGACTAAGCGACAGAGGTCTGGCAACTCGTTCTTGGAATCGCATGCCTTACATCATGCCAGTAATTATAAATATTACGGCCACTCATCTCACGTTCTCAATTAATGTCACGCATATTCCGCCACTTCTAATTTTAGGACCCATTTCTCGGCTGCAATTTTCACGTTCTGGGTACACTGCTTTCCTCATTGCTACCACAATAAGCGCCACTTCCAACTAAATGATGCATTATTGCATAACGTAAGGCAGAAAGCATTTTATTTCACCCAGGTATCGTTTGATGTACGCTTTTATTTTACCAATGCAGTAAAATGATGAAACTGGGAAGCAAGCCGATTTAGCAGATGCTAAAGAAACTGACATTCGAGGATAAGATAGATTTAACAGCGTCCGGGCATCTGAGCCGCGGTTCCAAGTAGAACGCCGAACTTGCTCTTTAGCTACTGGTTATGCGGTTGTCATTAAATTACAGTAAAACGTAAATATTACGTGATCGTTTCTTCGTTTCTACAGGATTCAATGCCTGCTACAGATGTTATATAATGGCGAAAGAAAATTACCCGAATTATATGGGTCGGGAAAATATGGGATATACACTAGCTTTATTTAATGACACTTCCAATCCCAGATCACATAGGTCTAGCGTCGGACAGTAAGTTAATTAATGAATAATTACATGCACAGGCCTAGGAAGTGGTCGTGACCTAATTTTAAGCATATGCCCACTGTGTATAAAACGTCTCTGAAGCTGTCATCATTACACAACGGAAGAGACTTGTCATCGTCAGAAATGTTACTACATTCTGCTTTCAATATGCGATGGAATGCAAAATCGCCATACCGGAGTTGTCCCACACACGGAACGTCTCATCTGTATGGGTGCTTACTCCAGCTACGATATACCCTCGAAGATGTTTCTGACAAGGGATACTGTCCCGGGTTTTGCTTGGAGTAAAAAACAAAAAAACTACGAAACACCTCAGTCAGGACACCCGGTCTCTGGGTCGAAACTTTTAACCCTGGTTCTCCGGAATTCGAACAACATTCAACCGTAACATCTAATGATGTGGCAGGCACGAAATTTAATGTACCTATGCACTAACAAGTCCTTTCAGGATAACCAGTTTCCCAGCTGAGATTCGATGCAAGATCTTCATAATGGCGACTGTGTGTACCACAGCTACGTTCGACCCCTAAGGTTTCATGTTGTGCGACGTACTGAACAAGAATGCAGTAGCCAAGACTGCATTTCGTCCTACCCCTTTCCCTTCCAGAGATAAAATGTCATAACCACGTATCTGCGGGGGGAGGGGGACTGAACCGGTAGCCCCCATCGTAAAATTGTGATCTACCGACGAGAGAGACGCCGACAGAATGGTTGACAAGGAAACTGGAGAATCCTCAAAATGAAAAGCAGGTGTGAGCAGCGGCACGAAAATGCTACTAGAAACCCCCAGTGGTATGGAAATATTTTACACGCTCACGTAGCCCCTCTCTAATGAGTACCGGCGGGATAAAGCGGCCGGGTCGAGAATTTGACCACTCACCTCCATCTAGCGATGAGGTCAAGAATGGTAGGGGAAAACCTCTACTCCCCTGTACGTCTTCATGGTGTGATGCTTAATGCCTTTTAGTACGTATCTGTAGGTGCCAAACTGTAACAATTCGCGTATCAATCTACTCATGAACTTATATCCTCAAATTATATATTACAACTATTGTTTCACGCAACTGTCGATGGAAAAAAGAACCAAAACTAAGCTAATAAATTTTAATTTATTTTACACATAGTATGCAGCGGCATTTCAACCATTTCAGATGAACTGCTTATAACTACCAACAAACTCATATAAAAGCCGTCACAGCCTCGTTTATGGAAACGGGGCGCATCCACCATGCGGTGGTGGCGTTTCTGTAATGTATCCCTTTCAGACAATACAGATATTTCCGTTTACTAAACTTCTTTCCCCATTTATATATATAACACTCAAACTAAACACCCAGTGATACGCCGTTTTAATAAAGCAACGCAGTCACTTTCTATTTCTCTATCTGAATACATAATTAGAATATTCCAAATAACAGAGAGGCCACTTAACCATGTTACTCACTTAAAAACGTTATTCGTACAGCAGTTGTGTCTGAGCCCGCATCCATTAAAACTCTTCAAAAATAAATAAATAAAATAGAATAGAATGTATACAAAGTTCACCCAAAAGTAGCATGTGCTTTAATCCATGACTTCTGAAACATCAAAGGAAAGATTTAGTTGCTGCAAATTCATCTCCACACAAATGAAGTTCTTAACGTCTCTATGATGAAACAAAACGAAGTTACACTTTCATACCATTAACCATTTGACGAAGACTGTTTTCCCACCGATGACAAATTCGTATGTGATTTTAATGTTGCTCAAGGGAGCTTTATAATTAGACAGATGATACAAATGGACAAAATATCATGACTTTGAAATCAGAATAAATGCATACAGGAAAGGCAACAAATTTATAAAGCTACATACAATACCACGTATAAGGATAAAATATTACAGATGCAGATGTTCGTAGGTCAAGCGACAACACTGTATGAATTAACATGGGGCGATTAGAACAGTGAACTAGAAGATACTGGCATAAAGCGTTAGTGGAATATTTCACGCCAACGTCCCAGTATTCCCCTTGAAGGACTGAGGCAAATTACAAGAAACCTAAATCACAACACCTGATACCCCACCCAAGATTCGAATCAATTTACAAATATGTATTGGCCAAATTACGGCTGGCCCTGACCTGCTCGTTGACTATATGAAGCTACAGAATGGATATAAGGAAGCTGATCTGGAACTACAAAAGGATAAAAGAAAATATTCGACAGAAAATTTTGGGATTTGGCAGGTTCCATTCCACCATAAGAGGTATGGCGACTGCGCAACCGGATGCAGATGATGATGAGACAGACCCGCCCTCCAGCCTACCTCCTTACAAAAATACGAAGCATGACAACGACACTTACCGCGTCATTATCAAAACTGGATCTTGCATACCTGTCAAAATCCCTTATGAGATCAAGTTTGTCAACGCATGCTCAAACTTTGGCTTAGTCATGTCAGTCGATAACGCTAAAATTATATCGGTACAAATTCGATATTTATAAAAAATTCGTGCGAATAGTTATACCTTCTGCGATATAATGCCTGTTGTACGATAAACCCCAGAAGCAAAACTCTTAACCGCATATCCTACAAATTCTTATCGCTTCGCATACTGGGTTCCGCAAGGAATAAACGAATAAAAGAAAATATTCCACTTACCATTCTGTCCATGTACTCTTTAATTATATATTAATTTCAGCTTTGCCACTGTTTTCTTGTACACAACCTAGCTTCCATTCAGATATGAGAACAGAACTGAGAGTGACATGACCGAGTAGATTGTTTCAGCGGTAATACGTCCGACCTACAGCCTGGATGTATTACTGAATCTAAGATTGGGCATAGATCACCATAATTTTCTTTCAGTAGATATTAACTGCATTCTGACGTGTGACATCGTGTAGTTTGGTAATG